TTTTTTATCCCAGGTGTTCCAGTCGCATGTTGAAAGGGCACCGGGATCTGTTTCCCGTGCGGCGACCTTCTGCGCCGGCTTACACAGCGCCGCTGAGATTCACGGCGCTTTTTTTGCTCAGGAATCTCCTGGCCTGACTCCCTGTTCAGTCCCCTCTTTAATCAGATGAATGTGCGACTTCCCGGGGCTCCAATCGCAAGCCAAAAGGGCACCCGGACCAGTGTATTTTGTATGGAGAACCGCCGGCAGGGGCGCCAACAAAGCAGCCACGCGGGGCAAAGCAGCCCAGATGACCAAAAGAACTGCGCTGGCCACAACAGCCGCGCTGGCGACCCGTGGGGCTCCTCCGCCTGGGAATCTCCTGGTCCGTGGGCAATAAAAATGCGGTGTCCACTCACCCTCTGCGCTTTCACTGGGAGCTGCAACTCCGAGCTGTTCCTAAAGGGCCATCTTGGATCTCTCTCCCCAAGTTATTTTAAAATATACAATTATTATTGGCTATAGTCATCCTATTGTGCTATCAAATAATAGGTCTTAATTCATTCTTTCTATTTGTTTTGTACTCATTAACCATCCGCACCTCACTGCTAACCCCTACCCTTCTGAGCCTTTGGTAATCATCTTTCTGTTCTATAAGTTCAATTGATTTCATTTTTAGAACCCACAAATAAGTGAGAACATGTGATATTTGTCTTTCTGTGCCTGATTTATTTAACTTAATATAGTGATCTCTACTTCCACTCATGTTGTTGCAAATGACTGGATCTCATTCTTCTTATGGGTGAATCGTACACCGCTTTTTATGTGTACCATATTTTCTTTATCCATTCATCTGTTGATGAGCATTTAGATTGCTTCCAAATCTTAGCTGTTGTAAAGAGTACTACAACAAACATAGGAGTGCACATATTTCTGATATATAAAAGTTTTTGTATGTTGTCTGGCCAAAGCAACTTGCTCAGAAGTCATTAATCAATTCCATTATAGGTGATTTGTTTAATGTTTACAATTCTTATGGAGAAAACACACATTTAAAAAGTGTTCATTTTTTTGCATGAGTGCTTAAAATACATATTTCTATTTAAAGACAACATTTAAAAATTATTCTAATATAACAACAGCAAAAATACAAGGCTGTAGTTACAGAAGAACTAAACTAGAATCTATTAAGTTATGCTCATGTTTACAATTGTGATTCTTTAATAAATACTGTTACTATGTAGCTCTATTGTAAGCTTTCAAGAATTGGTTTAAACACACACATATAGATACTGTCAGGTGTGGAAGGCTTTACAAATTATATTCCATGCACTCTTTGGACAGAGTTCTGAAAGAGACAGCCAGTCCCTAAGATAGGCAGAAAAAGGTTAAATTAACTCAGGCAAATAGGACTCATATAACATCCAAAACATGAGATTTTGCAACAAACAGAGAGTACTTCAGTATTGATCTGCTATCTTCTTTAGAACTAATTTCATCACACAGTTTAAGAAGGTGGACATTTCAACACCATTAAGTGCATTCAGGTGACATGTTTCTTTTATGTTAACTTGACTTCCTTGAATGGCCCAGTTAGTAAACTAGTCACTAGTAATTTAGTCACCAGGCAAATCAAGCCTGCAAGAAAGGAAGCCAGTATTCAAAATGCCATGTTACCATCTGAACCCCCTCAAATAGCTTATTTTCAACATTAATATGTATAACTTCAATAATGAGATGACTAAAGCAGACTCTTCCAACAAGATGAAAACAGCATCTCATTTAGATGCTCCTTTTTTCCTTCCATGTTACCTTTGACGAATGTTTTAGTTCTAAACAGTTTTTACAGTCCCAACATTAACATCGTTAACAGATTTATCAAGCTGTTTATACGTCATTTTGCTCACAATTGCTTCATGAATCTCTTGCTTTTCCCTCTGTTATGGACTCTGTTTACTTTTAAAGTGAACTTATTTCATAGTTTATTTCATGTTTCTAGTTCTTGGGTTACTAATGCATCTATGAGTTACTTTTGCTAAGTGTTCCTGATTTTCTTCCAGTAGATTATAATTTTTTGATATTTAAAATTTTTTAATGTGAGTTCACATTCATTGAGGCTGCTTTTTACTTTAGGAAACCCATGATGTGTCCTAGTCTTTAGAAGTGTCCCTAGAGAGTACTTTTGCAGAAATGTTGGAGATGTTGAAAGCCTTTGTGATTTTGTTTTTTTAGCTTGGGGCTCTCATGTCCAGTGTGACCTAGGCCTAGGCTTTCATTTTCGTGCAAGTAATCTTCTATGGTACTCATCTCTGGACAGGTACCTTGTTAACTCCATAGACATGTGAACAATTTTTTTTCAGTTCCCTTTTCATTTTATTCCTTTGAGTTTCTGGGCTTTATGCACAGATTACAAATTCCATTCCAGCCTCGCCCTGCTCACAACAAGCTTGAAGTCACACCTTTTCTTCTTTGGTTCTCTGGAATGTATTAAAGCTCTACCACCTTGAGGGCAAATCTGGAACCCAGACCTTCCTGGGGCTCAATGGAAGTCAGCTCCCACTTGCTGGTCTGCCTTTGGTCTCTACTTATTTTGTCTTTGGCTCGAGCAAAACAAAATACATGTGTGTGTGTGTGTGTGTGTGTGTAGTATAGTTAGCCCTCTGTACCTGTGGGTTCTGCATTCTTGTGTTCTACCAATCTTGGGTCAAAATAATTCAGAATAAAAAAAAGGGCAGTTGCATCTGTGTTGAACATGTATAGACATTTTTTTCTTGTCATTGTTCTCTAACAATAAAATATAACAGCTATTTACATAGCATTTACATTGTATTAGGTACTATAAGTAACCTCGAGATGATTTGAAATATATAGGAGGATGTGCCTGGGTTATATGCAAATACTATGACATTTCATGTCAGGGACATCCATCGATTTTGATATCTGGCAGGGGTTCCTGTACTGTCAAACATTTCCACACGTGGGTTTGTGAGGGGTCTGAGTTAGGTTGGCTTCCCGCATTTAGGGAAGTGAGTCTGTCATGATCGTCGGCACTTGTTTTAAATTTTTGATATGTCTGTTTTGATACCATTTTAACATTTGCAGATTAAATCTGAAAATGCCAAGACATTAATGATATCTTTGAAGGATATTGAGAAATCATTATTGTAATAATAGAACTCATTGAAAAGGGGTCTATAATTTAATAAAATTACCAGTTCATCTTAAGATAAAGTGCTTACGAAGTAACAGCAGCTTAATTCTGTAGTATATTTGGGTACGTAGACTACCTCAAAAGAAGAATTTAACATTTATTTTTGTAGAAAATAAGTAATTGTTAAATCGCCTGGGAAAATGTAGGTAAGTTTTACTTAATGCTGACTCATACTTTGTGGCTAGAAATGGCAGTGATATGAACATATGTGTTGTGCTGTTTATTAATATATTGCTTTTTATAAATCTCTTTTTTTGTTAATTAGGTAGAAACAGAAAAGAAAAATGTTCTTGATTTTGGTGACTTGACTTACGGAGGCTGGAAATCCCTCCCACTAAAATTAATAAACCGGACGCATGCCACTGTACCAATTAGACTGATTATTAATGCTGTAAGTATGACATATAGTAAGGAACTGTTTCCAGAATGCACTGATCTTACGAAGGTACATTTTTTTAAAGGATTTTGTTAACAAAGTTTGCATTACACTGTTGGCTTTACTGAACTGATTCTTGTATTTCTAAACAGAATGCCATAGCCTGGCACTGTTTCACATTTTCCAAGGAACCCGTCCGAGCGCCTGCAGAAGTTGCTTCTTGCGCTGATGTGGTCACTCGGCTAGCAGGCCCTTCTGTGGTCAACTGTATGATGCCTGCTAGTTATGATGGACAGGTAGGAGAGAACTGGCTTAGAAATAAAGAGGAAATTAAGCTTCTAAACTGCTTTTCTTTCATTAAGATTTTAGTCTTAATACCAGTTTATGTTAAGACAGATTTTTCTTTAATTTTATAGGATCCAGAATTTCTGATGATTTGGGTTCTTTTCCATACTCCAAAGAAACAGATCAGCTCTTCAGGTATCATGTTTACCTTTTGTAGGAATTGCTTTAATCTGTAGCTAAATAAACTACAAATTTGAGACTTATTTCCTTTGTCAATAAATGTCAATACTTTGAAATTTGTCAAGTATTGTAGACTGTTTTGAAAATGAGGCAGATGGCATGCCATTTAGGGTCAATCCTATGTAAGTGTGGCAGGATTTTCAGTGCAGGCAGCACTGAAAACCTTTTGGAATATTTTGTGTTAATTTATCTTATCACATTTACCAGGTGGATGTTTTCTTTCTTTTTCCACCTTTCTCTTCACTCATTTCTATTAACTCTTTAAAAAAAATTCTTGCCTAAATCTTCTTACTGCCCCTAAGGGCACTGTATGGGACTGCTGATGGCAATTACAATTAAATAACTCTGTTCTCTGAGCTAAAAGAATGACATTTTTTAGAGATTCTGGACTCAGCAGAAGAATTCTTAGCAAAAGTTGATATAGAAGTTGACAGCCCAAACCCGACACCAGTTCTTAGAAGTGTGAGTCTCCGAGCAAGAGCAGGAATAGCTAGGATCCACGCTCCCAGGGACTTGCAGGTAGTCTCATTCCTCCTCTCTGCTGTTTGCTTTCCTTCATGCTGCTTTCACTTTGTGACAGTTTGTTGAAATGTCTGTCTTGCCCCATCCTCCAGACGATGCATTTGTTGGCCAAAGTGGCTTCCTCAACAAAGCAGCACTTACCTTTGAAAAATGCTGGGAACATTGAAGTTCATTTGGATATCAAGGTATGCACTTCTGTCAGAGTGCTATAAGATAGTCTTTCCTCAGACTATGAGAGCTCCTTACCTTGTACAGGCTGCTGTGATCCACCTGGCCTGTCAGAGTGCCCTGAGCATCAGATGAAAGAATCACTGAGAGCTTTTAAAAACTGTAAATATATGCTGTGGTGCTTTTAAGTTTAGAGTCCAGTGTCTTAAATATGAGAACCAAGTTCTTAGATTAGTTACTGAAAAACATGCATGTCACCCTTTGGTTGGAGTTTGTGACGAGTGATCCACACACGTTGACATCATTTCTGAGACCTGAGGATGAGTGAGAGGGAGTTAGTGATCTGAAATTTGGGGTGAGGTATAAGATAAGGTTTGTTACAGAAGAGAAAGGAATATTCTTTCCAAGAGAATAGGACAAGTTGAGGCTGTGACAGATGAGGAGGGGACAAACAACCTGTCCTAGTAAATGAGAAAGGCACATAAGGCAGGAGTCACTGAGTGAAAGCCACATTTCTGTAAGTTGACATTCAGTTATGATTCTGTCACTATGTTTAGGTCCCAGAACAAGGAAGTCACTTTTCAGTGGATCCTAAGAATCTGTTCCTTAAACCTGGAGAAGAACATGAGGTTATTGTTTCATTTACTCCAAAGGATCCTGAAGCCTTTGAGGAAAGGTAATATAAAAATGTTATAATGGGCTGGACATAGTGACTCATGCCTGTAATCCCAGCACTTTGGGAGGCGGAGGTAAGTGGATTACCTGAAGTCAGGAGTTTGAAACCAGCTTAGGCAGCATGACGAAACCCCATCTCTACTAAAGATACAAAAATTAGACAGGTATAGTGGTATGTACCTGTAGTCCCAGCTACTCGGGAGGCTGAGTTGGGAGAATCGCTTGAACTCAGGAGGCAGAGGTTGCAGTGAGCTGAGATTATGCCACTGCACTCCAGCCTGGGCAACAGAACGAGACTCCGTCTCAAAAAAAAAAAAAAAAGTTAAAATGACAAAGTTTTACTCGTCTCTCAAAACAGCCACCTACTTAGATGTGCTTTAAAATTCCACAGCCTGAATGACAAAGTCCATATATTTTCTACCTAATAGATGGTATGCCTCTGTTTGATTTCCTTTTATTTAGCTTCAGATTATCTTCTTTTTTTAACTAAAAATCTTTTAAACCAGTTGAATAGAAATGAATAAATTATTATTTTCAAGTATATTCTGACAAAAGTAAATAATAAGAGGTGTTTCTCATTCACTTTTTCTCCCGAAACTGTTAGTTGACCTTGTCAGCTGTTAAGATACCTTTCCCCATTTTTTCTCCAGGCCCATGACTTCTTAGCACCCAAATCATAAGTGAATATCAAATTAGAGTTAGAGCACCACTGGCATGAGTACTGAGCTTGCTTGTGTAACCGTAACTTAAAGTATACTCTCCTCTGAGACACATGTGGCTTATCCCCCTGCCTGGGTTGTAGAACACTTTATCATGTGCTCAGTCTGCTCTTGTGACCTTACAGAAGAGGAGAGTCTTGCTTGCACCAGTGTGAATGCCTGTGCCTGGAATGCTTACCCTCAGCTTCCCTGGGCTGACTCCTTCTGGGAGGCTTTCCTCCACTCTTCCCAAATGTCTCAAAAATAGCATTCCTAAAACTCCATGGTTTCTCACACCCCCTGTGCAGGTGCCATTGAGATTGTCTCTCTCCTTGTCTTTATTCTCTGCAGCGCAAGCTCTAAGGGTGGGAATTTCATCATATTCTCAACACCTAGCTCGCTCTTTTGGACAACGCAAACATGTAGGAAACAGTCGCAAAAAGAAATCAAATACAGGACCTTCAATTCAGATTTCTTTCTTTCTTAGGATCTTGAAAATATTTGTGCAGCCATTTGGACCTCAGTATGAAGTAGTGTTAAAAGGTGAAGTCGTTTCTTCAGAAAGTAAACCACTGCCACTTGGACCTTGCTTAGATATTCCATCAATTTTGTCCAACAAACAATTTCTGGCTTGGGGAGGAGTCCCTCTTGGTAGAACACAGTAAGTGTCAAAGATTGACACATGGTCAGTCCACTATTTGTACATATTTTGGAGCAGACCACAAATTAATGTTTGCAGGAAAATTTTGTCATAATAGATACTCTTCAGGCTCAATTGTGCAGAACTGGAAAAGCCTCCTAGATGGGCATGTGTCCTGATTGAGCTTTTCTTTAACATATATTCCAGTCCTGCAAAGAGCACCTGACACATGACTAACAATATAGTTGCTGCTGAAGACTGAGTATCCGCTTAAACTCACTGCCACTCTGTATTTTTCAAAAGCCAGCCGAGAGAGAGATTTATGGAGAACTGCATAGAGAATATGCAGTATATCCATTCTTCTAAATGACCTAAATTTCCCAGTCAGCAACCACATGGTTTTAGCAAAACCCATGGAAGTGCTTTTGATGCACCAGACTTGAGTGTCATACTTCCCGACCACAGCGAATGGAGCACCTAAGGGAGAGGGGCACCTTAAGAAATGGGAGGTAGTATTTACTGTAAAATTGTTTGGTGGTTTTGTTTTGTTTTGTTTCTTGAGACTCCCTGTATTGTACAGGTTTATCTTTAAAAGTGTCTCTGAAAGAAACATCTCTCAGAAGCCTATGGCAGAAACAGTTACACTTCACTCAAGCAGTAACTGGCTTGTTCTTGACATTTGAACACGTTTAACTGATGATGTGACTCCATGGAAACCTAGCTTCTCCCATCCCACCTGATAACTCTGTACTTGCAAATGATAACCACAGTGCTTTACAAATTACAAAATAAATAAATGAAAATGAAAACTTTACAAAATAATGTTTCTTTCAGGTGATTCTTCCCCAGTCATTGTACCTGTGAAAGGCTTTTCCTGGAGGTGTCAATAGCCAAAGTTGTCTGTGTTTCTCTTAACACAAGGTAGATGAGACACAGACCTCAGCTGCTGATTTATTAGCTGCTGATCTTCCCCAAATTTAAGTAAAATAGAGATTTACTCATGTATTCTGTTCTCTAGTGAAGACAGGATTCACAGTTTCAACAAATGGAGTGTTTTTATCAGTCAGCTGCTATTATATATCCATTCTTGTGCATTGCAGCTTCTTTAAAAGTAGAGTTACTTCAATATACTGTTTAAAACCCTACTTTGTGCAAATGAGCCTCTTAGCCTAGGACCCCTTGTTTCCCTGAAAGCTCACTTGGATAAACTAGGTATTCAAGGTAGGTGTGGCATTGACTTAATGACTTGATGAATTTCTTCACCTGGATTTTCATTGATTAATGTTTTATGTGACAGATATTTATACACATAGTATAAATAATATGGTCAGGTGCAGAGCTATCACTAGGTAGAGATTAAACCAAAAAGCCTCTATGGTGAGTCTTGAGCCTACATTTTCAGCAACATAGAATCTAGAGACAGTACTAGGCTGCTGAGATGGCTCATGTAGTCAGTCCATCTCCAGACATTGTGGTTGGCTTTATTTGGCTTAGTTTTTATGATAATAGTAATATCCATGGAGGAAAACCATATTTAAAATGTGTAATTGTTTTTAGGCTTCTGAAACTAGCTTTAAGAAATAATTCTGCATCTACAACTCAACATTTACGACTGCTTATTAAAGGACAAGATCAGGACTGCTTTCAGGTTCGTAGAGTACATGGACTCTTGTTATGTCTTCTGTTTTATCAGGGTCTGGATCACTTACATATGTAGACCCTTTTGTGTTATTTATCTCTTAAGAATTTGTGTTAACGATATGTTTTATTTGTACTACTGCTTTGTTATATGCAGTGACTGTCTTTAAATTTTAGCTTCAGAACACTTTTGGTTCAGAACAGCGATTGACCAGTAACTATGAGATCAGAATTCACCCAAAGGAAGACATTATCATCTCTGTATTGTTTGCACCTACTCGATTATCTTGCATGTTGGCTAGACTGGAAATCAAACAACTTGGAAATCGATCACAACCAGGCGTTAAGTTCACAGTAAGATCATTTTATTCCTTTTCCCTTCCCCTTGAGTTTATGCCATGTTATAACTGGTTGAATGTTGTAAGTTATATACTTTGCTTTTTATACGTGAAAATATGTAATTATCTAGACTTACAAGTTAGGAAGTAATTTATATGCCTTGCAGAATTGGACAGTTATAATAGCAGCCAGCATACCAGTCTTTCTAATGCTTTTAAGTTTCATTTTAATTTGGAAACGTTGAAATGTACCTAGCTTTTTAGGAATATATCTTTGGGTAAATCCAGGTGGAGCTGTTTAAGATACTAACTTTCCCATTAAGTTTTACTTTTTCAATTCAACAAAAATACTGTCTTGTCTATTCAGTCTGCTATAACTAAATACCACTGGGTAATTCATAATAAACAACAGAAATTTACTGCTCACAGTTCTGGAAGTTGGGAAGCCCAAGATCAGGGTGCCAGCAGATGCGTTGTCTGGTGATGGTTGCCCTCTGCCTTTTTGTGCCCACACATAGTGGGAAGGGTATTAAGTCTCCAGTCTTTTATAAGGGTATTAAGCCCATTCACAGGGCAGGAGCCCTCATGGCTTAATCACTTCCCCAAAGGCCACATCTCTTAGTACTGTCACACTGGGGACTAGGTTTCAGCATGTGAATTTGGGGGGGGTGACATCACCATTTAGACCATACCAAATATCCATTGACTAAATTTCCTAGCCTCTGTTCCAGATGCTGGGGATACAAAGACGAGAGTTTTTATGCTTTTTAATTGTCAGCATAATAGGTAAAAAGGATTTAAAGCCATTGTGTAGACACATTCACAGCAATTAGAGATGAAAGTGATAAGTCATAGAGGGAAGGAAGCAATGGAAGACAGTCGGAGGAAACTCCAGTTACATGGATGTGCATACCTTATAACTGCACAAGTGTTTGGCAGTGGGGTTGGGGCTCAAATTTTGGTTCTATATCCTATTGTTAAAGAGGGAATGTGATAAATTACAAGATTAACAATATCTAAAAGTTTTTAAAGTTAGATATGTATTACAGCTTTATTTGACACTGGAGCTTGACCTCTGTTTCCAGTAGAGCCACTTGATTGGCCCCATGAGCTGCGGTGGACAGGAGAACCCAGGGAGCCAGCCCTGTCT